TTTAAAGATCCACAAAGGGAGTACTGATCTCCAGGAACAAACACTCCAGCATTCTTATGGAGTGTGGTGGACAGCCCACATGGCCAGAACTCAAATCATCCTCCTGAAGTGGGAGGCAAGGGCACTTTGTCTCTGAGCACCAAAAACCCTGACATTTCACAGTTGCTAAAATATATGTGGGGCTGGAGAGATTACCCAGTGGGTAAAAGCCCTGGCTGCTCCTGCAGAGGTCCAAGTTCGGTTCCCAGATCCCACAACTGTCTACAATTCCAGTTTCAGAGGAATCCAGTGACCTCTTCTGGCCTCCATGAGCACTACATACACTTATTGCACAAACATACAGAAACCCACATGAGTGTGCAAAACTATGTTTAGTATCATCAAAAGGAAGAGAGGGGTAGGAAAGGAAGGAGGGAGGGAGGAGGGAGTGAGGGAGGAAGGAAGGAAGGAAGGAAGGAAGGAAGGGAGGGAGGGAGGGAGGGAGGGAGGGAGGGAGGAAGGAAGGAAGGAATCAGGCAAAAGGGAAATTTTCTAACTCTAGAGAAAGAGTGATACCATGGCTTGTGTTTACAAAGCAGCAGCTACTTTGATGCACCCCTGTAATCCCAGCTATTCAGGAGACCAAAGCAGTAAGATCATGAATATAAAGACCTTTAGTGTGTGCGTGTATGTGCGTGTGTGTGCACACGCGTGTGCGTGTGTGCATGGTTGTTTGCATGTGTGTGTGCATGTGAGCATGTGTGTGTGTGTGTGTGTGTGTTGTTCTCTAGCCTGCACATGGCACGGTATGCGTGCATACCCATCCCACACATTAAGTAAATATAATAAGACAAACACATAAATAAATAGCAAAATTAAAAATAAAAGGGTTGGTTGGCTCCAAATAAAAGACAATTCTTTATTGTCTGAATGTAAAAAAATAAAAATAAAAAAATAAAGGGTTGGGTTGTGGCACTGTGCTTTAAAAAATGAACAAGAGAAGGGGGAGAGGGGAGGGAGAGAGAGACTGACAGTTGGTGCTGGAGAGATGGTTAGGGACAGTTGATATTCCAGAGGGCCTGGGTTCAGTTCCCAGCACCCACATGACAGTTCAGCCATCTGCGACTCCAGTTCCAGGATATCAGACTCTCTCCTCTGACCTCTGCTGGCACAGACATGCTTGTGAACAAAATGCTCTTGCACGCAGAATTTCAATTAGAAAAGAAAATCACACAATAAAGTAGGGTGCTCGCTTCGGCAGCACATATACTAGAATTGAAATGATACAATAAAGTAGGAATTTTGTCAAAGCCTTGGTGTTTTATTTTTGCAAAGAGGCTGTACAGTAAGAACTTTAAGGCCATGAAAATGTACTCTCAAGTCTGATCAAACTGAAATTACGCAAGTATGAACAACTCAGCTTTTGTGCAAGGTCTGATTTCAACTGCATCTCAGCTAGCTGGGTGCCACTCACATTTTAGTCCATTTGCAGTAATTCCCTTCCACATAGATGGGTCTTGCTTTATCGGTCTGGAAAGGCAAGTGTGCCACTACTCTTACCTTCCCTGGCTTCACGCCTCTGTCCTTTGTTCTGAGGCAGACAGAGAGAGACAACTGAGGGCCATCATCTTAGTTGCTTCTCTACTGCTATGGCAGAACACCATGGCCAAGACCACTTATAAAAGAAAACTTCTGACTTGGGGCTCACCATTTCAGAGAGTTAGAGTCCACGACCATCGTGGTGGGGAGCATGGCAGCAGGCAGGCCAGCATGGTGTTGGGGCAGTAGCTGAGAACTTGTATCTTCTTCTGAAAGTATGCGACAGTGAGAGCTAACTGGGAATGGCATGTGGCTTTTGAAACCTCAAAGTCCGTCTCCAGTGACACACCTCTTCCAGTAAGGCCACACCTCCTGATCCTCCCCAAACAGCTCCACCAACTGAAGAAACAGGCGTTCAAATGTGTGAGTCGATGGGAACCATTCTCTGTCAAACCACCACAGCCATCAGTTTCTCCTCCTCCAAAGTCAAAGCTTAATGGTCACATGGGAAACTGTCACTCCGAGTTGTAGTTGTTTGAAGGAGTGATGTATAGGGAGAGCCCTGGCAACAGCAAGCAGGCACTGTGGCAAGACTGTCTAGATCCTAAAGCAGATGGTTAAAATGCCATCAAATGCTGCTGATTGCCTCCACAAGGGTGTCCTGTAAAAACTTCACGGCCCTTTACAAAAGTGAACATCTGGGAATTCTTGGATGACCTCACAGTTCCGGCGCTGTAAAAGCCATGCCTTCATTGAATCTAGCAGCCAAGTGTGTGACCTGAACTTTAGATTTTGTGGCATGCTGCAGGCTAGGCACAAAGGTCCTCCTCGAATTCTGTAGGCTTCTCTCCTGGAAACATCTGGAGGTATTTCCCACTGGGAAGCTCTTCCATGCTGAAGGAAAGTCTACCACATGGACTACAATTGTCCTTGGGCTAGTGAGCCTTTCCTGTCCCCTTGTAGTTGACAGTGCAATGCAACTGAAGTTCTGGAATGCTGTCAGCGGTGCCGGTGGCGTCACACCCATTTTTACCTGTGCACACTCCTCCTTAGATGGCTGCTTAGATGGATGCCAGCAAGGGTCGGCTTGATCCTTCTTGCCTTTGATCCTGTAATAGGGACATTGGAGCTATGGGGGTTGATCCACTCACAGTGACAATGTCACATATTTGGAAGATCCAGAGAAGATGTGGTCTTTACTCCCACAGCTAAGCAATCATCCACCACAGAGTTCATCTTCTCCACTTGCTGTTCTGAACCCTGGAGATTGTCTGGTACCTTTCCCTCAAAGGTCTGGACAGTTTTCTTCTTCACTAAAGAAAGGAATCGGGTGTCACACGAACTCACACACATCTCACCTGCCGCTCTTTCTCCTTTCCCTTGAACCAAGTTGGTAAAAGCTTTTCAAGGTCTGGAAAGGCTTTTTTTTTCATTAAACAAAAGATGCCACTCCAATTCCCGAACTGAAGACAAACCATGTTGCAGTCTTCCTGCCAGAAGTAAGACCGACAAGGGACAGTTGGTCCCATGGGTCTGCAGATGAGTCACCTTCCTGACAGTGTGGCCGTTGTCTCCAGGAGCTTATCTTGCCATTAGTCTGTTACTTTGAATGAATCTAGACAACTGGAGACGAAGGTGTCCTTTCAAAGGACTTTCCCTGTCTCTATTCCAACCAAGCAATCTATCAAGATGAGTTTTCCCCAACTTAGCAGCGAACTGGAAATTCATTTGACAGACACCACAAGCACCGTTAGTTCTGGAAATCGCAATGAAAGCCACACTCCCCGCCCCTGAGTCCAGATCTGGCAGTGCAAGAAGGTCTTCAGATGGAAATTGGCACACTCTTGCAGGAGCCCCATTGGGGAGTGAAATGAGCTGTTACTTCAGAGCCTGGGACATCAGGGACATGCTTAACTGATTGTCAGTCATCATGACTGTGGGGACTTGCCCACAAGCCACTACAATGCTTGCTGTACTCGGGAAAGATAATGCATCTGTCACTCACTCCTTTGTGCTTTTCAAGAGCATATAAACAAAATCTGGTAGCCATTCCAAACCACATGATCTGACTCTGAAAGCTTTAGGGTACAACTCTACTTGGGTGAATCATGCTCCATTAGCCCCAGTAAAACCGTACTGAAACTGCCAGCCTCTTCTGCCCACCCAGTGGAGAAGAGCGACAGGCTGGCAGCAATGCCAGTTTGGGACGTGCGGACCGTGGTTTAGTCACGCTGCTGTCAGAGTGAGGAGCCGGTAAGTGCTGTGGGGCCGTCCTGCAACTCGTGGCCCAGGATGCAGCTCAAAGGCTTTCCAGAGGTGTTGGGTCTGTGAAGAGGCAGTAGGTCTGTCTGAACACGGCATCATTCTTCTAGCTCTGTATCGGGATGCATGGAAGATTAATTCCGGTTCTGGAGTCCGGTGCTCAAGTTACAACACGTGCATGTTAAGCAGCAGCTTTCCTTCTGTGTGATGAAGAACGGGAAGACTTGGGAGGGAAGACAGTCAGACTCCAGCATCTTCACACGCTGCTTGGATCCACAGCACCCTCTCCACACACCCGGAACACTGGGACCTCTGTTGGAACTCCAGAGCTGTCCTGTGCCTAACCCTGAGAAACACTGAGGGTTAAGCCCATGTTTTAATCCAGTAGATCCCTCTGGATACATACAAACCTCCCTCAAGCATCCACCAGAACTTTCTGGAAGCCCCCAGGATAATTGCAGCACACTGGATAGCCCCAGCCCAGAAACTATGATGTATGGGGGGTATCTTCTAAAATGGGGGTTTGATGGTCTTTTTAATTCAGAACTAGAAACTGGCGAGTTTAAACTGCTCCCCCTTCTCTCTCACACATACAGAAAAAATAAAAATTAACAAAATGTTAACTATATAAATAGGGGTAGTTTGCAGTTTTCCCTGACATCATGTTATTACTGCTTTTTATTTACCTTATTTATTCTTGTTATTTTGAGACAGCTGTGTTGCTCATGATTCTTTTCCTTTGGCTGCCTAAAGGCTGGCACTGAAGGTGTGAATGTATTCTCTTTTAAAGTTAGAATAGGAATAAAGGTATTTTGCAGCTCATGTGGGTTTGGAAGGGCCTGGCACTGGCGTGGTGGGTGTGGGAGTCCCTGGGGTGAAAGCCACCAAGTCTTGTGTGTAAAATGTGCTCAGGAGTATCTGCCATAGAGCTCAATACATATGCTCGGGGGTTGTTGTTGATTTGGTTTGGGTTTGGGCTGGCTTAGAAATCACTCTGTGGCCCAAGCTGGTCTTAAACTGTGGTCTTCCATCTTTGACCTCCCAAGTATGAGGATTGCGGGCATGTGCATAGCCAGCCTGAAGCATTCGTTTTTATGTGTTAAAATGTGCATTAGTGCCCTGGGAATTGCACTTACTTGCAAGCCTATTGGGCTGGTCCCCTCTAGGAGTGTGTGGTCTCTGCTGGGCAGCCTGGTTCATTCTGTCTCTTCTCTTTGCAGTTGCCCATGATGGGAGGAGCGTTCATGGACTCACCCAACGAGGACTTCAGTACCGAATACTCCCTGTTTAGCTCCCCTGCCAACGTCCACGCCACCTCCAATGGCCACGGCCAGCCAGAGGAGTCTCCTCGCTCCTCCAACGATGCTGTTCTGCTGTGGATTGCCATCATAGCAACACTGGGGAACATCGTGGTGGTAGGGGTGGTGTATGCCTTCACCTTCTGAAGGCAGAGGGGTGTCAAAGCTGTGGGGAAGCCCCTCTTGCACCAGGTTCACTCGGCAAGGCTACCCAAGTGGCTCCATCTTGTTCCCAGTGGCTGGGGACACACCTGTGTTCTAGACCTAGGCTTGAACGGCCCTGGAGGGGCAGCCAATGCACATCTGTAATTCCCTCCAGGCAGCTCTGATTTAGAATAGCCTGTGTTGTCGTTGATTCAGAACGCCTTGAAGTCGGTGCTTCCGGCTCTGAAAAGCTTGATGGGTCAAGTCCTTCAAACAGTTCGTGACGTTTCAGTCAGTCCTAGAACACAAGACCAGGCTGAACATCCTATCAAGTTAAAAAAAAAATGTAAACCTGGTTTGGTGACACTTTCCTAGCAGTAAATTATCACTTGTATGTCAGATTTTCTGCCAGTTTATTGAACAGTGTGCTGGGACAAGAAGTTTCACAAGTTAGGATTCCCAACTTTTCATTTATGTCCCACCCCTTGGAATATGGATGGTGATGTTGTGAAATTGACTTACAAAAGGTACTTTATCACCAGACAGTTGGTCCCTTGTAGGACCCAAGTGCCTCGGAAAACCCAGGGACTGGGATGAAGTTTCTGATCTTTTTAAAACAAGCAGAGGGTACCTTCAAAATTTAGTTCCCCAGGCAGTTAACCCTTCACCACCCGACCTAAGTCACCCTTTCTTCGTCAAGGACTCATGGGAGTTAAAGATGAGTTAGTTGTGTCCTTTATCATTGGACAGATGTCATGGAGAGGGACATGATGGAGTCAGAGAGGCAAGGACTTTCCTAATCTGGCTGAGTCTGGTCTTCACCCTAGCTAAGCTCTCTAGTGAGCATGTCCCCACCTCAGCAACTGATGCAGAGATGGAAACCCCAGGAGGTGTCCAGCGTGGGGACTTCCCAGGTCACTCATCCATGTCTGTGCTGACTCCCCGCATCTACCACTGTATCCAGCATACTTGCAAATGCTTTGGCCCCAGGGGAAGCTATTCCAGCAGAGAAATGGTCCAACCTCTGTAGCCAAGAAGTAGGGGTGTTGGGTGTCTTCTATGATGCCTAAGATCATCACCAGGGCAGGATGCTGGGCTGGCAGTTAAGCTGTTGTGTGCTGCAGGTGGGAGTTTCTGGATGTCTTCTCTGGCTTCCTGACTCTCCATCAGAACCCTCCTGAGTCATCACCCCTCCCCCAGTCTTTCCCTAGAGAAAGGGGAGGGACATCCTCATGAGAGAACACAGGTCAGGGATGGGGGCAGGAGTGTGCTGTGATGTCTTCACATGGCAACTCTGTCCCATTGCTGTATGAGTTACCCCACGGGAGTAGCAGTTGGTGGTCCATCCCCTACCTTGTATCCATGGAGACAGCAGGTTAAAGAGGGATCTGTGCCTGCTATGATGAGAGAGGAAGGGACAGAAAAGATAAAGACAGCTTCTAGCCTTTGTGAAGTATCGGCATGTCAGTGCTTACACACACACACACACACACACAGAGAGAGAGAGAGAGAGAGAGAGAGAGAGAGAGAGAGAGAGAGAGAGAGAGAGAGAGAGAGAGAGAGTTAAACCCATGATGATGTCTCTCTGCTCTCCTGGGTCAGAGCTACATATGGTCATGATCATTGGAAGCCCCTTTTGTCTACACGGCATCAACTGGTTCATTCTCTCCTGTCTCCTGCAGTCTCCTGTCTGAACTTCCTCACCACAGATAACAGTAGGGAGTAAATGACAGGTTCCAACCAGAATAGCCAAAGTGCACCTCACTCCCCCTCCTGTCTCTGCTTCATTCTGTCTTGGTCGCCAGGAAAGGGACAAACAGGTCTGAGCTTGGTGCTCCACTACCATGAGCAGGCACGGTGCTAGATTTCCGTGCACGGCCTCCGTCCCCTCACCACAACAGTGCCCAAGTGCACAGAAAGGAAGTCAGAGGCTCAGAGCAATGGAGTAACTTTCCTGAGGCCACACAGCATGGAACTGGGGATCTGGGATCGGAACCTGGGAAGTTAGGCTCCGCAGCTGACCCTCTCTGTGGCACTGTCCTGCCCTCTGAGGCTGATGGCCTCGCTGAGGTACATTTGAACTGGACTTGAATCTTCAGAAGGTGTTTCCCAAGGTATCACACTCTGGGCCATCCCTGGGTCTCAGACCATCAGAATGAGTCAGCCTCTGCTTTCCCTAGACTCCAGAGGTGTGGTCCCTTCCCCCGCCCATTTAAGACTGATCTTGAGTCTGCATGTAAGTCTCTAAGGAGGGTGCCCAAGGTAGAATGTCTTGGGTACATGTGGAATGGGCCCCCAATAAGGTATGCAAGTCCTAAGAAACTAAACATTAGGAGGGTTCCAATGGACAGCGCTGAGGTCAGAGTAGACCTAAGTTGGGCTACAGTCTTTCTGTGAGCCCCAACACTCTCCAGAGCAGAGAATGTGTATCTTCTTTGGGGTCCCAGCCAGAACACCAGGGACTTTTCCCTGGGTACGGTGGGTACCAGAGCCTCCTTAATTTGACAAAAAAGACCTGGACTTTTGTGTAGCTGGCCCTTGCAGAAGTGCTGCATTTGCTGGGATGTTCTGTGGTCCATGAAACACAGTTAAAGAGACTAATGAGTCCCTTCTCTACCCTGCTCGGAGCGAGCACTGTTCTTTCTTGTATGAGTTTCTACGGTCCCAGGGAGCAGGCCAGTGTCACACATCCAGAGAGGCAGCAGGCCAGCATCTTTTCCTAGCTTGGATGTCCACCAGCCTACCTTAGCATTTACTAGGATCTGTCTGGGAGCCAGAGCCATCCAGCTGCAGGTGTACTCTTGGTGCACTGGTCCTCTCTTGCAGGAGCATGGCCTCCCTTTCGTATCAATGGGTAGTGAAATGGCTCATCTCTCCTGCTGCCTGTCCTACTGACAGCTCATCTACTTCCCAAGTCAGGGCCAGGGAGGAGCAGCCAGAGAGTGAATGGCACATGTGTACCTATACCAATCCCTCCTACCCTCTGTCCCCAATGACTACTCAATGCAAGGTATGAAGGAGAGAGTACTGAGCTGTCACTGAGAGACCAGAGGTGCAGACAGAGGTGGAACCCATCTAAGAAGCCCAGGGGAGTGAAATTATGAGCCCTGAATACTCCCTGTGTCACCTCCTGATATCAGAGCTTGAGCAAGAGGTGTCATGGGGATAGAGTGAACCATACAAACAACAGGGCTAATGGCGTTCACATTATTACCAGGGTGGAAAAACCCTGTCATCAGTCAGGACAGATGGGGGCTACACATGTAAGTCTCCATCATTTGTCAGGGCTCGCTGTGGATGCCACCTGTGGGTTTTAGTAGGAAATAAAACCAGAAAGCTGGGAGGTTGCTCAGTGGGTAAAGCATAAAGACTCGGGTCCAGATCCCCAGAGCCCATGTTAAATTAAAAGGGGTGGGCACGGCGGTGCATGCCCCCAATCCAGGCACTGGAGTGTGGAGATAGGCGGAGCTTGGGTGAAGCGAGAGACCTTGTGTGGTAGTTTTGTTTTTTAAAGAAAGGGTGAATAAGTGATTGCGGAGGAACATGATGTCAGCCTCTGGCCTCTACATGCAACTGCATGGACAACAGCATGTGTGCACACAGACACACATAGACAAGGCAGAGAGAGGAGGGCAGCAGAGAGGAGGATCAGGGCTCAGTCTTTGGGTAGACAGCATAGGTGCAGCCTGCCCAGGACAACCAGGCACAGTGGTGTCCTTGTGCCTCCTAAGCCACAGCATTGAGAAGGCATGGCCTCCGCCTCCGGTTCTCCTTCCAGCCAACTCCTGCCTCAAAAGGTTTCAGAGCTGCTTTCCCATGGGTTAAATCCTATGTGTGCTCGGTGTGCAGGGAGTGTGCATGCTTTGGCCACAGGGCACTTCAGAGCCCGGGGTCTACCAGCCCTCTGTCTGGCAGAATAGTCTGAGTCGCTGTGTCTGCCTCCTGGATTCTTTCTCCATTTTCTAGACTCGCAGACTGTATGCAGCCACACATGGATGAGCGTAGCTATGCATCCCATCCGACACAAAATCATACACTTAAAATATTATGAGGCTTTTGTCTTTCATAACCCAGTCTGGGGGTGGAAACTTTGCAGATGGCGTCACTGTTGAAATGCCAAAGCACTGGACTGGGCATCACTGCTTTTGCAATTCAGAGTATTGTCCTGACCTCACCAGTGGTTCTACGTAGAAGCTTGCAGAGGGCATGGGAGCCCAGCCTCTGGTGGGTTTGGGGACATTGCCAGACGGTACTGGTCAACAGAAGAACAGAGTCTTGTCCCCAGATCGCCCAGCCACAGGACTCACATGGTTCTTCAGTTCAGGCACCTTGGTTCCCCAGAGGACATTTGGCAATGCCCAGAGACCGTTCTTGTCACAATGCACAGAAGAGAGAAGACCGACTAGCACCTAGTGAGTGGAGGTCAGAGATGCTGCTTATCCTCACACAAGACGGACCCCGTGGCCAAGTGCTGCCCGCCCCCAAATGCCAACAGTGCGGAAGATGGGTGATCCCATTTAGACCTAAGAGGCCAAAGCAAAGGGGAATTCTCAAAAGCTCCAACGGTCGTGCATGAGTCACCTGTGGAACAGAGCAAATCACAGCAGTGAGCACCATGGCTGTCCCAAGCTGAGAAAACTCCAGGAGAGGGACTGTACCTTGGAAGCCCACGTGACTGTTTTCTTTTGGAAAGATCCCTACCTATGTGGAAACAACCCTACAATATAGCAGAATGCTGAGGCTGAACTTGTCCCCCACCGGTGGCTGTGTGTCAAGGACCTCCAGTGTCCGGCCCTCACCAGTGCGCCTGAGAAACACGGTTGGCAGAGCGATTCTGACGGGTACAGAAAGACTGGGGAACAGGAACAGCCTCCCCGTGTCCTCCAGCCCTGCTCCCCAAAACTGCAGGCATACTAACTCTTTCTACTATCTAAATTCTTGAGTTCTTCATGTGGCGAGCATCAGCCAAGCTTCTGTGCTTTGTGATGTTTTCCCAGAGGGCTTGTAAACACACATAGGTGACATGAAGTTGTTTTAACGATTGTTCCAGGTTCTCCCAGTAAGGTACCCTGTTCCCCCGTGTGTTGCTGGCTTCTACTGCAGTGGGAAGACTCCTTGCTGACACAGGACTTCAGCGTGCTCCTTTGAAGGTGTGGCAGTGACACCTCCCCTTGTTAGCTTTCCTGCTATGGTTGTCATTTTCTATTACAGTAATTAAACAGAAGGGAAGTTTGACCGTCTGGCTCCCGACTGCTTGTCTTTGAAACCACAGTTCCAGGGTCCACTGAGGCAGGATGGGTCCCTTCCTCCCTTGCTCCCCTCTGAGTCCACTCCACTGTCACACCCGAGATAAAAAGGGCAGAGGCTGCATATTGCCACCCATCAGTTCTCCTGGCTCCTGCACCCCCATCTGAGAGCAGTTTATCTCCATCAACTTCGGGACCCGCACTGTCTCCAGTGCATGGGAAGTCCCCAATAGATATTCAGGGAGTGAATGAGTGAATGAATGGATGGATGGATGGATGGATGGATGGATGGATGGATGGATGGATGGATGATGCCTGAATGACCAGTTTAGTGTGCTCTCAAGGAACACCAAGTATGCAACTGTATTGGTATTCTTATATTCACTAGTAGTAGAAACACCTCCAGGTGTGGTGACTTATCCCTGTGGTCTGTGGCAGCAGTAAGGAGTCTGAGGCAGGAGGATCACCATAAGTCTGAGACCAACCTGAGCTACTGAGGACTCTGCCTCAGAAGAAAAAAATAAAGTCAAAAAGACAAACATGTACGTAGCTATTGGGTGTCTGGTGGTATTCTGAACTCCTGGCCTATGCGTCAGCTGTTTGGGTGTAGGTTCTACTGGTATCTCCATTGCACAATTGAGGAAACTGAGCCAAACAGGCGAAGTTACTCAAGGTCCGGAAATCTGACTCTGGGATCATGTCTCAAGAAGGCTCGCAGCTTCTCGGGTTGACTTTGGAGTCCTGAGGAGCCAAGGCTGTCCTGCGAATTGACAGAGCAGAACTTGGCCACCATACCCCATTGCTGCCACAGGTAAATGTGCCCAGTTTCTCAGAGGTATTAAGCACCCACCTTGGCAGCAAGGTGAGCCAGTGGGCTCCCTGAGGGCTTGGGGAGGGGGGAATCTCTGCCTTACACATCTGGAGGGATGAGGGTCCAGCAGGCATGTTTTCAATAACAGAGCTGCTGGAGCCACAGGTGAAGGCAGCCATGGGGAAAGGTGGATGGGGGGGTCAGAACTTGGTGGGAGGGACCTGGAATACCAGAATGAGGCGCCTAAGAGGTCAGTGGCCACCATTAGTGTGTCCCTGAGAAGGTTGGTGCTCAGTCGAGGCAGGTAGTCTCTGGGGGCAGGCAAAGTGACAGGTGTGTCAAGACAACAAGGGAACCAAGAAGCGACTCCAGTTCTGCCTCTCAAGCCTGCTCCTGACCCCGCTACCTCCCCCCTGCTCCGTAAAAGGGACTTGTGTCCCAGCACCAACTCTACCAGCGCCTCGGGGCTCCCGCCCATCTTGTTTTTGGTGAAGATGGCTGGGGCCTTCATGCTGCTGTGTGGACTCGGTTTTTGAGACCCAGCTCCAGCCTTTGGATCCCCTAGGGAAGGCTGTCTAGGAGATCATTTCCTTGGCAGGCAGTGTCCACAGCCCAGCACTGCTAACTTTGTACTTTAAGCAACTACAGCAGGTCCAGCCCAGGCCATTGTCCACTTGGCGGCTCCACCAGCCTGCCAGCATCTGTACTGCATTTGGGGACTTGCAGACTTGGTCTGTAAGCACAAGCCTTTGCTTACTGTGTCCTGTCCCCTGGCCATCTCGGCCTGTGAGGTACAAGGCAGGTTTGTTGTGTCAGAAGGTCACGTGGTGTGAGATCTGCTGCTGAGATACGTGTGTAAACAGCCAAGGCTGCCCCTACCGGGCCAGGATCCTGCTGTATTGTGGGTAGCCAGGCAACTATCTTTCCTGGGAACAGGCCTGCCCTCCCTTTTGGATGTACCCCTAGGAGAAAATGCTCCCTCTTGCTCTCTCATGGGCCCTCAGAATGCCCAGTCCAAGAATGGTGTGGTAGTGACTTCTGCATACAATTAAACAGACAGCAGGAATCCCCTAAGGAACAAGTGAGGGGTAAGATGAAGCATGTGCCCCTCCCCCTCCCGGCACCTGTGGGCTAATGGCTTCTTTTATCACCTTATCAAAGTTGGCTGTACCACTGAAGGGCAAGGAAGGAAGAGGGGACCATGATGGGCTCCTCTGTGATTCCTGCCAGGTTGCTCTGTTTACTTAGTTGCGGCTTCATCTCCCAAACCCGCCTTCCCTGGGATTTTCCATTTGGCTTCTAATTGCTCTGTCTCCCGCAGCCCCGCAGTTAACATTAATACAAACCAGGATGCTGGAGCCAGCCGTACAGATGGCACAAATAGCATTACCCACCATGGCAACCAGCATTTGCGTGGACACTGCCCAAGGGTCTGCAAGAACATTCCAATCCAGCCCTCCAACTTCCGGACCAGAGCTCCAGGCCTCTGCCCCCACATGGCAGGCAGGAAAGCTGTCCTCTTCCTTCCGGGGGGGGGGGACAAGCGACCAGTTGAGAATCATGACACGAAATGGACAACTCTGAGATGCCTGGGGGTGGGTAAGAGGAAGCCAGAAAAGGATGGTACCCCAGGACAGACAATCACGACCCCAGAGTCCGGGAAGGGGATAGAATACTGTTACGTTCTCAGCTGCAGCAGCAGTTTGATGATCCAGGCTCTGTTCTGGGTGGTGAGCAAAACACAGCCCTGTCTTTCTGATGGAGAAGGTGGAGGAGAAGCAAATAAGGCGGTGGCTTGAGAATGGGAGAGCAGGGCAGGTGGTGCAGTTGACAAAGTGCATGTCTTGCAAGCACAAGGACCCGAGTTCAATGCCCAGGACCCTGTTTTTTTTTTTAAAGCCACGTGTGGCAGTACACACTTATAATCCCAGAACTTGAGAGGTACGGAAAGGGGATCCTAGGAGCTCCCTGGCCATCCAGTTTTGCCTACTTGGTGGGGTCAAGGCAGCATGACCCTGTCTCAAAATAAAAAGTAAATGGTGCTTGTCTTAGTGTTACTGCTCTGGCGAAACGCCATGACCAAAGCAAGCTGGGGAGGAAAGGGTTAATTCGCCTCACACTTCCACAGCTCAGTTCCTCATCACAGGGAGTCAGGACAGGAACTCACACAGGGCAGAGACCTGGAGGCAGGAGCTGATGCAGAGGCCAAGGAGGGGCGCTGCTTGCTGTCTTGCTCCTTATAGCTAGCTCAGCCTGCTTTCTTATAGAGCCCAGGACCACCAGCCCAGGCCTGGCACCACCCACCATGGGTGGGGCCTCCCCCATCAGTCACTAATTAAGAAAACGTCCGGCAGCCTGTGTGCAGCCTGATATGGAGACATCTTTTTTTTAAACTGAGGTTCCCTCCTCTCAGATGATTTTAGCTTGTGTCAAGTTGACATAAAACTTACCCAGCACAGTGCTTTCGAAACAAACCCAAAGTTATCATCCAGACTCTGCACGCATGCACACACATGTGCAAATGCCCTTGCCCACATGTACACACACAAAGAATGGAGGGGCACATAGGAGTTGAGCTGTGGGGAATTAAAGTGAGCTCGGGGCTTCAGGGCAAGCACCTGTGGCTTTGGGGTCTGTGGTCGTGGCATTTGTGACCAGGGAAGAGGTGGAACAGAGGTTCAGGCTAGAAGCAATTTTGAAAAGTGACCTGAGTTGCTCCCATGTGCTGACATCATGACCTCAGTCTTCCAGACTCCAGAAATGCAGGAAATAAAATTCTGTTTATAAACCATCCATCCCCTGGTGCTTTGTCGCAGGAGCCGGGGCTAAGGCATTGCGCGAGCACACGAATATGCTATGGTTGGTACAATGCCCGGGTCCCCTGGGAGAATGCATTGGTCAGTTACTTTTGTGAAATGCCTGAAGCTGTTATCAGGAGAGCAGGGTGGGGTTGGTGAGATGACTCAGAAGGTAAAGTCACTCAGTGCAAAGCCTTGATGCTGAGTTCAGTCCCTGCAACCCACAGGCCATAGCTAGGGTTTGTATTGCTATGAAGAGACACCATAACCCCAACTCTTATAAGGGAAAACATTCAATTGGGGTGGCTTACAATTCAGAGGCTTAGTCCATTGTCACCATGGTGGCACATGGTAGCATACGGAGGGCAAGGTGCCGGAGGGGCTGATAGTTCTACATCTTGCAGGCAACAGGAAGTAAACTGTCTCACTGGGCGTGGCTTGACCGTATATGAGACTACAAAGCCCACCTCCACAGTAGCTCACTTCCTCCATTGAGACCACACCTGCCCTAACAAGGTCACACCTCCTGATAGCGCCACTCCCTTTGGGGACCATTTCCTTTCAAACCACCACATTGCATAAGAGGGGAAGGAGAGAACCAACTCCAAAGGGTTGTCCTCTGACCTCCCCATGTGTGCTATGCTATGCACATTCCACACACATATACCACGCCTTTGTATAAAATAAATGTTTTATTTATTTGCTACCTTGCCTGGAAGCAGTGACTACTTTCAGACCCTGAGCACCTGGGGCAGACACTGCCGGGTTCATCTTTGGCTTTTCTGGATGCAGAACGGACTGCCTCCATCCTGAATTCCACGAGGTCAGTCTGCAAAGCGGGAAGCAGGATCAACAAGACCACGGTGAGGCAGGGGTGAGCTTCTGGAGGTTCCAGCTCAAGATCAGGTGTGTCGTGTGGAAGAAACGCCCCCCCCCGCCAAAGCAGGAGCACGCGGTTAGAAACCAGAGGCTTCAGCAGCCATCTTCATTAGCTTGTGGCCAGCCCCTGGGGGAGCTCACTCTAGGACTGTATTAGCCAGGGTTCTCTAAAGGAACAGAACTTCATTCTTCCAAGAATGAGTAAAGCAGAGCTATTAGATTGGCTTACAGGCAGTGCTTGTGCCGTCTAATAGTGCCTGCCTCACGCTGGACAGAGAATCCAGTCCCCAAGGCTGGATGTCTCAGCAGGACCAACCTGGTGCAGAAGTGTGGGTCGTAACCCCCCAAGACCCTCAAAAAAACCTAGATATTTACATTACAATTCAGAACAGTAGCGAAGTTATGGTTATTAAGTGGCAAGGGAAATAATTTTATCCTTGGGGTCGCAGCATCAGGAAGGTTGAGAACCACTGACCTAAAGGGAAGCTACTGGTCTTCAGT